TTCGGGCCCCTCCTCCTGGTGTGACTCGTTCGGGCTCCTCGTGGTGTGAGTCGTTCGGGGCCCGCGTCGTGGTGTGAGTCCTTCGGGCTCCTCGTGGTGTGAGTCGTTCGGGCGCCTCGTCCTGGTGTGAGTCGTTCGGGCCCCTCCTTGTGGCGTGAGTCGTTCGGGCTCTTCGTGGTGTGAGTCGTTCGGGCCCCTCGTCCTGATGTGAGTCGTTCGGGCTCCTCGTGGGGCCTCTTGGGGGCCTCTTGGGGCCTCGTGGGGCCTCTTGGGGGCCTCTTGGGGGCCTCTTGGGGGCCTCGTGGGGCCTCGTGGGGCCTCTTGGGGGCCTCTTGGGGGCCTCTTGGGGGCCTCTTGGGGCCTCGTGGGGCCTCTTGGGGGCATATTGGGGGCCTCTTGGGGGCCGCTTGGGGCCGCTTGGGGCCTCTTGGGGGCCTCTTGGAGGCCTCTTGGGAGCCTCCTGGGAGCCTCTTGGGGCCATCTGGGGGCCTCTTGCGACCTCCGCAGAAGCGCAAAGGAGAGCTGCCCCCTGAGAAGGACAACATGAGCCCACAACCTTCTGTAACATCAATGATTTTGCTATGAGGGAAGATGAGCGCGGCCCCCTCAGAAGGCCAAAATGGGGCCACCACCCTCGTAAAATCAATGATTTCTGCTTCAAAGACGAGCAGAGGAGCCAAACTGCCCCCCCCCCCCCCCTGGGGGCCAGAATCCTCGCGAGGGTAGTCGTTTTTTGGCCCTCCGAGGAGTCGATGTGGACCTCCCCGCCACCACCCGGGAATCCCTGTCCAGGTCCAGGGGGAGGGGGTAGGGGGAGGGGTAAACCCTTCCCCGAAGGGGAAGATAGGGGGTTGAGAACAGAGAGAGCTCGCTAAACCACTCGCGCCCAAAGGGCTGGTGGGACTTGATTGCGGGGTGGCCCGCGGCGCTCGTGGTGAGCTTCTGGGTGGCGTTCCCGATGCGGATCTGGCCCTTCCAGAGAGAAATGTCGATCTTGGAAGGCTGGATGAAGTCGCGGCCGATGAGCAGGCCCAGCGTGGGGCGGTCCACGACGCTGAACACGATGCGGCCAGCCTGGCCGCACAGCACAAGCGGCGCGGTGACGCGCAGCTTGCTTGGGAGAGTACCCCCGTTGCCGAACCTGTAGACCTCGCCCTCTGGCTCCTCGAGGATCTGGTTGGCAAGCCCCATCCTCGTGAGGATGCCCTTGTAGTTGTCGTGCCACTTCTTGCCCGAGACGCAGAAGAGGCAGGCGGTGTCGACCACGCCGACGCCTGCGTCCACGGGCTTGTCACTGCCGATCGCGACGTTCGCGTGCGGCAGGTGGTGGATGAGCCGCTCCGAGACGCAACTCTCTGGGGGCGGCGTGACTGGCCCCTGCGGGTGCAGGGCGATCTCCTCGTCCGCGAACTGGAGCTGCTCGGTGATGTGCGCCTGGCGCTGAGGACGGCCTCCGCGACCTCCTCGTCCACCGCCCTATGACTTGCCGTCCGCGGGCGCGAACTTGCGAGCACCTGGCGTGGGGCGCTCCTTGTCCCTTGTCCAGTGTCCGGTCTCGCCGCAGTCCCAGCAAGGAGTGTTCCTCTTGCGCTGATCGACCTGGCTCTGTAGCTTGGTCGGGCGGCGGGTCGGTGCGGACTTCGCCTTGCCGCGGCCCTCCAGGGCCTCCCGGGCCGATCTGATGGTAGCCATGGCCTCGGGGATAGCGGCAAGTTCCGCTGCGGCAGCTTCGACCTTGGCAGAGCCGTCGCCGTCGAACAGCTCGGAGATGTCCACGTTGGAAGACTCGAGCTCGGCGCTGAAAGCCTCGATCTCCTGGCGAACGATGTCCTGGACGTCGGCCTCGTCCTCGTCGTTCTCCTCTTGCTCTTCGTCGTTCTCGTCGCCCGGCTCGTCGACGACGTTGGCGGGGCGCCCCCCGCGGCCGGAGGAAACGTTGCTGCGCCAGCCGCCTTGCGAGCGCGACTGGTTGGTCCATGACCTTGGCGGGGGGGCGCGGCGCTCCGACGTATGTATATCTGGGAGCATCCTGACCAGCGGCCCGCGGATGCGCTGGTAGCCGTAGTGCTCGTCGGGCAGGTTGCCCGCGACTTGCCCGCGGCGCTCTGCCGCCCGCCTGGCCTTGCGCAGCAGGAACCATCCCGCCACGTCGTCCAGCGCGTTGAGGCCCACCTCGTTCTCGCGTAGCTGCTGCAGTCCAGTCTCGAAGCGGATGAGCCAGTCCGTCACGTGTTCACCTCGTCGTCGGCGATGTTGAGTCGATTCGATGAACTTCTCAAGGGTCTCGCCCTTCTGCACATGCTTCTGCTGACCCAAACTAGCCTCCGGGTGCTGTAGCACATTCTCGATGCCGACCTGGTTCCTATTACGCTTCCCGTCATCGGGGTCTTCGATGTCCGCCGCGGCTGCTGGACGCAGCTGCGCTTCCGTCGTGCACCTCGGGCTGTCCCGCTTAGCTTCAGCACGAGCTTCGATGCGAGACTCTGCGCCACGGCGAGGTTCTCACTGAGCTTCCAGAACTTGACCTCCTGTTTGTAATATCTTCACTGTGACGGGTCGCCATTCCAAGTGGGGATGACGTTGTAAGCATAGTTGTCCGTTTTTTTTTGTCGAACGTGAAATAGAGAGTCGCGTCGCTGACACTGGCGTCGAAGAAGAAGTAGCTGACGTAATCGCTAGCGTCGCTGACGCTGTCGTCGAAAGAGAAATAGGCGTTGATGCTGGCGTCGCTGACGCTGGCGTTGGAGAAGTAAGCGTTGATGCTGGCTTCGCTGACGCTGGCGTTGGAGAAGTAGGCGTTGATGCTGGCGTCGCTGACGCCAGCGTTGGAAAAGTAGGCGTTGATGCTTGCGTCGCTGACGCTGGCGTAGGAGAAGTAGGCGTTGTCGGCGTCGCTGACGTTGACGTAGGAGAAGTAGGCGAAATAGTCGTTGATGACGGCGTCGCTGACGCTGTCGTGAGAGAAGTAGGCGTCGATGTCGGCGTCGCTGACGCTGACGTAGGGGAATTAGGCGTTGGAGGCGTAGATGCTGGCGTCGCTGACGCTGGCGTAGGAGTTGGCGGGATAGGCGTTGGCGTCGCTGACGCTGGCATAGGCGCTGAGCAACGGCGCGGGGAAGCCGCTGGGCTTCGATTCCGTGGCTCGCGACGGCTTCGTCGTGGCTGGATATGAAATGACGCGCGGCGCCCGGATATGAAATGGCGCGCGGCGCCAGACAGCTGAGACTCGCTCCAAGCTACCGCTGTAATCTGGAAGATAGGCGATTGATCTTCTCACTCGCGCGGCGAGGGGCGTCGCTCTAAGGCCGAGGGCCCTAGTTCGAAACAGAAGCGGCGGCGTTAGAGCAAGGCATGAAACCACAGTGCCCCCGGGGCTTGGGGGGAAGCCCTCACGGGCCTCTTTGATTCCTGGGGAGTGAGCCTGATTCGCAGCATGCACTACGCCGATTTGAACTTGAACGCTCGCTTTTTCCACACTGTTGGAAGCGCGAGGGGTGGTGCGCCGCTGCGCGCGGCGGAGCGAGCATATCGCAGAAGCCCGCTACTTGGGCCGAGTTCTGCAGGATCCAGGCCAGGGTCACAGTTGGGACTTCGGCGAGGGCTATTCAGGGCTACATCGCTTCGAGCATGTCCTTGGGCTTGGAACCCGGAGCGCAACCGAACTTCAATTCAGCGTGCTTTTCGCCTGGGGCTCGGATCTCCGCCGCCTCGCCCCGCTGAGGGGCGGGCGCCACGTCGATTTCCCACCCGCCGTGCCCGATCGCCACCTCCAGCGAGGGACCAGTTGCCACGATGGGTGGAGATCCGACCCGAGGCAGCGCGCGCCACCTGGCTCACCAACTCAGCGCGCGGCGGAACGGGCTCCGAGAGCGCAGAATCTGCCAGGGAGGGTTGGAGATCCAGGCGGCGCCTTGGCGCGCAATGCGCAGACTTCATCGGCATGTGCGGCTCATGCCTCTGAGGCTGCAGCGCAGCGCAGTCCTGACGGATTGGGCCGCGGGCGCACGGTTCCGCAGAATCCCGATGCAGCAGAGGGGGCCTTATGCCTTTTCCCGCATTCTGATCTTCCGTGCGGGGCAGGCCCGAATCCGTCCTGCATAGATAGAAATACAGTGCACCGAAAGTGAGGTTGGCGGGGCTGGCCGCGTCCTGGGGGCTCAGGAAGAAGGCGGGGCTGGCCGCGTACAGCGCGCCAGGAAAAGCGCCGCCGCGCCGCCGTCCCATCCTGCATTGAAAAGGACAGTCCCCGAGGGAGTGCGCCGCCGCGCGCGCGACGCCTGTAAACACCGATGGCCCTGGCTTTTTAGGTTTCTGTAGGTATTTCGGAACCGTCCGCGCAATTGTTTCTATAATCGCTTCCCCTCCCTGCTTCCCCAGGAGCCGCGCACGGCAGCGCTAACGTTTCTGTGTGAGCGCGCACACTTGTGTTGTAAGTTCGCCGGTCTGTAGTGGTGTGCACACGCGCCCTTTTCTGTCCATTGGCGATGCGAGCGTGGAATGCATACACAGCCCCTGTGATACATGCGGGCCCTGCGATGAAGCTCAGCGAGTGGTGTACACGGTCTTGCCATGCACGCAGTCCTTGGAGTGTATGCGGGGCGCGTTGTGTGCACGGGCGGTATGGCGCACAGGCTTTGCAGTCACACGGGTCTTGTGATGTGCATGTGCGTTTGGTGCACAGAGGGCACGCGGTGCGCGCAGGCTCCCCGTGGGCGTGTCGAATCCTCAGCCTTCGGTCGCCTAGAGCCCCCACCCCGACCATTCGGGATCAGCCATCGGGCCACCCCTGCCCACTCATGCGCCCCAGGGGGTGATCTGAGTTGCCCCTTCGTCGTCGGTCGAGTGCCCTGGTCCCCGAGTGCGGCCGCAACCAGGCCAGAACAGCTAAATAGTGTGCCGTGGCCCCAGGATTACCTAATGTACGATCCACGTTGTGTCAGAAACCAACGCGCAAGTCCTCACGACACGAACCTGCCGTAACTCGAAGCTTTGCCTCCAAGGACCCGCAGATCCAGCGCATCGTCATCGACCGAGACCAGCAAGGACCCCTCGCGAATTGCAACGTCCCGAGCGCGATCCTGATGTCTCGGATAACGAAGGCCAGGCGGGACTTGAGGGATCAAGGATGCCATGAGGACAAAAAGGCTCCCAGACCAGCCAGCCCACGCACGCCGCGGGACCAGCCAGCTCAAAGGCGGCAGCGGACCAGCCGGCCGCCCATCCCGGAGGGCATGGTGCAGTGGGTCACGGACGAAGATTGCATGTATTTCGTGTGCGTTTGCGAGTACACGCAGGAGATGGAGGCCCTCTTCCGGAGTGGCAAGTACTGCGCGAGCTCCTTGTTGCATTTCAGTGGCAAGGTGACGAGCCACCAGGCCGAAATGCAAGGGGCGTGGCCAGAGGAGGTGACGGGCAGGCATTCGCTACCAGTGCAGCTCCAGAACGGCCCTTGCGAGGGTTTGGTGGCCGTCGGCAGGTCCCACAAGGCGGAGAACCGTGAGAGAGCTGCCAGCATCGCTCTGGTCATCACCGCCATGGTGCTCACCGACGTGATGGGGCCTGAAGCGTTGCCGACCTTCACCCGCGGGCCGTTCACTGCTGAGGACAAGAGCTGGCCAGACGGCCTCCGCCACGCGGTCGACGCCGCCCTGGACAGCTTCCTCCTCGGCGCCTGCCGGCACCTCGCGCTCGGGCAAGCGACGCCGGTTTGGGAAGCGGCCTCGGGGGCAACGTTAGGGGAGGATAGGCCTCAAGTCGGACATGTCCCTCTACGGGGGGGGATATATACATGCAACGGGGGACTGGGTCCGGGGGCCGGGGGCCACGACCACGACCGCAAATGTGGTGCCAGGGCGTCGTTTTCCCTATGTTTTTTACTGGGTTTCGGCGACCTGGGGCCAACAGGGCCCCAAGAGGCTGCATGGAGGCCCCAGGAGGCCGCAGCGATGGCTCCAGACGCCTCTCAAGACGACTCCCATGACGCCAAGAAGGCCTCCGAAGACGCCCCAAGAGGCACCTCGAGAGAGGCTCAAGTAAGCAAACATCGTCGATTTCCGATCCGCAAACTGATATTTTGGGCGTGTTCGCCTTTTGGGCTTCCAATGCGTCCAAGACGGCCCAAGACGCCCCCAAGGTTGCCCCACAGGCCCCCAAGAGGGCTCCAAGACGACCCCAAGAGGGTCCCAAGACGGTCCGGGAGGCCCCCAAGTCAGCCCGAGAGAGCCCCAGGACGAACCCCAGAGGGGTCACAGAGGTGCACAACCGTATTCAAATTCCGAGCTTTCGGCCCCAGCGGCTCCCAGGAGGCCCCAAGCGGTCCCCAGGAGGCTCCAAAGGGCCCCCCAGAGGCCCCAAGAGGCCCCCAAGAGACCCCCAGGAGGCTCCCAAGAAGCACCAAAATAGAGCCCCAAATAAGCAACCCAACACGGTCGAGGATGCCCCCAAGAGGGTCCCATGAAGCCAAGAAGGCTCCCGAAGGCCCCGAAGACGCCCCAAGAGGCACGCCGAGAGAGGCCCAAAAAGCAACCATCGTCGATTTCCGATGGGAAAACTTATATTTGTGGCGTGTTTGCCTTGTGGGCGTCCACTGCGTTCAAGAGGCACCTAAGCCGGTCGAGGATGCCCCCAAGCGGGCCCCAAGACGGCCCACGAGGGGGCCAAGACGGCCCACGAGGCGCCCAAACCGCCCAAGTACGGCCCAAGGCGGCGCCCAAGATGGGGCCGAGGAACCGGAAATTCTGGCCTTTTGGCCCAAGAGACCCCCAGGAGACCCCAAGAGGCTCCAAGAAGATGCCAAGAAGCCCCAAGAGGCCCCCATGAGACCCGGAAAAACACCGAAAGAGGCTTCAAAGACGCCCCAAGAGGCACCCCGAGAGTGGCCCAAGAAGCAACCATCGATTTCCTATGTGGAAACTGATATTTTTGGCGTGTTTGCCTTTTGGGCGTCCACTGCGTCCAAGACGGCCCAAGAGGCACCCAAGCCGGTCGAGGATGCCCCCAAGAGGGCCCCAAGACGGCCCACGAGGGGGCCAGAACGGCCCACGAGGCCCAAGGCGGCGCCCAAGACGGGGACGAGGAATCGGAAATTCTGGCCTTTGGCCCAAGAGACCCCCAGACGACCCGAAGAGGCGCCAAGAAGGGGCCAAGAAGCCCCAAGAGGCCCCCATGAGACCCGAACAAATATCAAAAGAGGCCCCGAAGACGCCCCAAGAGGCACCCCAATTGAGCCCCAAGTTTGCAAACATCGCAGATTTCCGATTGGACAACTTGTTTTTTTGGGCGTGTGGGCGTCCACTGGGTCAAAGACGACCCAAGAGGCACCCAAGACGGTCGAGGATGCCCCCAAGAGGGCCCCAAGACGGCCCACGAGGAGGCCAAGACGGCCCCCGAGACGCCTAAACCGCCCAACAACGCCCCAAGTCGGCGCCCAAGACGGGGACGAGGAACCGAAAATGCGAGCCATTTGGCCCAAGAGGCCCCCAGGAGACCCCAAGAGGCTCCAAGAAGCGCCCAAGAAGCCCCAAGAGGTTCTCAAGAGACATGCAAAAACACAGAAAGAGTTCCCGAACACGCCCCAAGGGGTATTTCAATAGAGCCGCAATAAGCAAACATCGTCGATTTCCTATGGGAGACTGATATTTTTGGCGTGTTCGCCTTTTGAGCTTCCACTGCGTCCAAGATGGCCCAAGAGGCACCCAAGCCGGTCGAGGATGCCCCCAAGAGGGCTCCAAGACGGCCCACCCACGAGGGGGCCAAGACTGCCTCCAAGAACGCTCCGAGTCGGCGCCCAAGACGGGGACGAGGAACCCAAGATTCGCACCTTTCGGCCCAAGAGGCCCCCAGGAGACCCCAAGAGGCTCCAAGAAGCGCCCAAGAAGTCCCAAGAGGCCCCCAAGAGACTCGAAAAAACACCAAAAGGGGCTCCGAAGACGCCCCAAGAGGCACCCCAATAAAGCCCCCCGCGGCCCTGGGGTGCCATACCTCCTCGTGACATCTCGGGCAAGCTCCCCGTACCGCTCCCCCGGGCGTTCCGGGGGGCCTCCACAGCGCTCCAGGAGGGCCCGAGACGCCTCCCAGGAGCCCCCAGGATGCGAAAGGATTGTCCAAAACGTTCCCAAGCAACCCAAGCCAGCCTTCCGACGGCTCTCGAGGCTCCCAGGTAACCTCCAAGAGACCCCAAGAGAGGTCCGAGAAGCGTCCCTGGACGGCCCGAAGAGCCCAAAATAGTAGATTTTCGTTTTTTCTTTGAATGTTGTTGTCTTCTCGCGTTTTCGAGCTTCAACGGTCCAAGAGTGCCGAGGAGGCTCCCAAGACCGCCCCAAGACCACCCAAGAGAGCCTCAGGATGGCCCCAAGACGGGCCAAGAAGGCTCCAAGACTGCCGAAGAGTCGCCCAGGACAGCCCCAGAACACCCCAGAACAGGCCCAAGCTGGGGCCAAGAGCGGGAGCAGGAAGCTTCCAGAGACCTCCGAACGGCCTCCGGGACCACCCAGAGGCCCCCAACACCCCCCCGATCCTTGAGAGACACCAGAAGACCCCGACGAGGCCCCAAGAACAGCCCAAGAGAGCTGCGAGAGCCGTCCCGAGAGAGCCCAAAGAGGGCAAAATCATTGATATCCCATGGTTTTTCTAATGTTTTTCGCCTTCTCACGTTTTCCCGCTTCCAGCCTTCGAAGATCGAGGATTTGGGAAAAAAGGAATTCCCAGGGGGTCCTACACATCCCCTGACATCTGGCCGGTACCGCGCCTCCCGGCTTCCGGGGGGGAGACCCCAAGTCGCCGAAGGACAGCCCGTGACGACCCCAAGGAGCCCCCAGAACGTAAAGAACGGCCCAACACGATCCCGCGCAGCCCGCGACACCCACCCGACGGCTCTCCAGGCCTCCAGGAGGCCTCAAGAACCCCCAGGGGGTCCGGAAGATCCCACGCTCCTGAGGGGCCCGGCTAACAAAACCCGCGAGGCACAAACAAAAAACAGCGCCGAACAGCACCGAGGAACTGGAAATTCATGGAAATCTCACATTTCTTTCGTCAAGTTTGGCCCCGGGTCTACTCTTGCACAACAAACCACAATTCAGACCCCCCTCACCTCCCAAAAAAGAGCCCAGAAAGCCTTTGAGGGCTCCAAATCGTTGAATACCAAAAGGAAATGAATGATTTCTGCATTTCCGCGTTTCCCCTTCAATACTATTCTGAGGCTTCCGCAGGGCCTCCAAAGGAGCCCCTGGACGCAAGAAGCGACCAAGATGAGATGACATGAGTTAGCCTATCAAGCCTAGCTAGAACTTGAGCGCGCGAAGCGCGCTCGATGTTCTAGTTCGAAAATAGTCGAAAATAGTCCGGGGACGATTTTTGTTGATCTTTTCTGCAAATGTTATTGTTCGCCCAGTATCCCCCTGTCGGGAGACACGCCCGACGTAAGGATGGCTCAGGGGAGGATGCATCGTTCCCACCACTCGTCCATCCACCGCCGACAGGGGTTCGATCGTTAGCCCCCCAGGAGCATGTGGATTCGCCGTCGGGGGCCTGCTTTGAGTCCATCTGCGATGGTATCGCCGATTCCAGGTCGATGCTCAGTATCCTTTTAACGATCCCCGTCCCCATCCCCATCCCCTTCGAGACCCCCACCAACTTACCACCCCAGTTGGGGATACACCCTTCGAAACCCGACAGGAACGACCTACATCCCCATCTAGGGGGGTAAATCGGCCAGAGGGGCCCAGGCCACGCCGCTGGGGATGGGGATCGGTTAAATGATACTCAGATGCGCCCCCCCCGAGCCGGCCCCCTCCTGAACCTTGCCCCTCACAGCCAGCGACGGCGCCGAAGGCGTCGGAGCGGCGGTCGAGGCCGAGGCGGAGGCCGAGGCTCGAGGAAGAGAACACGGGGTAGAGCGTAAACTTCTGGAGGTCCGCTCGGATGCCTTGGATCGGCGCCGGACGCCACGCAGCGCGCCAGGGGCGGCGCCGGAGGCGCCGCGGGGTCCCAGCGCAGGACCAGGAACTCCGCGCGGAGCTCCGAAAGTTTGTGTTTCTGCCACCTTCTCATCTTCGAGAGGGCGAGGCGGAGGCCCAGGCAGAGGCCCAGACGGAGGACCAGGTGGAGGCCCAGGCGGCCGAGGCGGCGGCCGAGGCGGACGCCGACGCCGTGCTAGCGGCCGTGCTCGCGGACGAGGCGCGGGCCGAGGCCGAGCTCGTCGCGGAGGCCCGTGGAGAAGAGGCCGCGGCCGAGGAGGAGGCGAACGCCTGCTGGGAGGTCGACGAGGCAGCCCGGGGCTGAGGGGACGGGGGGAGGAGGGGGGTCGGGCGGACGGCAACGGGGGGAGCAGGGACACGGAGGATTGCCGGAAAGTGGTCCCTGAAGGGACCCGAAATGGCCACTAAAATGTCACATCGGGCCCAAGCGGCGCACGCTTCTTCACCCCACGGTTATTTCCCCCCCGTCAGCGAACACCAGAGAGAGGGGCGGCCAGGGGGGGATGGCTAGGGAGGGGGATCTCGTTGACGGGGCCATGATATTTGCCCAGATCTCAGGGCCCCCTCTTCTTGTTTCAGTGCGTCCTTTGCCCCCCCATCCACCCCCCCCCCCTGGGCCGCGCACGTGCCTCGAGCTATGGTTTGCGAGACCACCTCTTGGACGCCCCCCCTTGGACGGCACCGAAGGAGAGGGGCGTGGGCACCGAATACGAAGCAGGGAGCGGGATGGAGAGGGGGGGGAGATGTGCCGGGCCCGAGGTCGGAGGGGGAGGAGAAGGAGGGGGTGGAGGGAGGAGGAAGGCGAGGATGGGAGAGGCGGGAAGGAGGAAGGAGAGCAGGTCGTGGAAAGAAGCCCATATGTGGGCACACCCCTGGCAAGGGTCGTGGAGCTGGGGGAGGGGGGAAGTCCGTCCCTCGATGGTGGCACCAGGGGCCCCAGACGGTGGCTGCGAGGCCTTCCCAGACCGCCCAGGCATGCTGCGGCAGGCCTCGGATGGCCGCGTGTTTGGGCTTGGCCGCACAGAAAACTGAAAGTACCTTAAGTGTTGATCAGGGCGCGTGGATTAGCGACGGGTCCCGTGTCCATACAAGCTCGACGCGCTCCGTCGCCAGATCAGGCGCACTAGCGCTAAGTGTATATGTTTTTCCTCCCCGTTCCGTGGATCTGGCGCTCACATGCTAGATCCACATATCCGTAATCCATATAAGCGTCTGTCCGAAACGTGCAATTCAATGTTTAACATCAGGCCCCGATGCCTCCAAGAAAATTTCGGAAGGTACGCGGGAACACAACATATGGCGTATATTACAGTTTGGTTCACATGTGGCGCAATGCATGGTGCGTCCCATGGCGCAATCCATTGCGCTGCCTATGGCCCACCAGCTGGCGAAGCCTATATTGCACTTGTGGTACAGCCATGGCGCACAATGGTGAAGCCTGAGGCGCAATCTGTGGCTCAACCTATGGTGCATCAACACTGCCTCCAGGGCCTTTCCGCAGGCTGCGCCCTTTATCCTCTCGTTCGTCATCTTCTGTCTTTTCCACTCCTCCCCCGCCCACACTTCCTCATGTTCACACTTCCCCTTCGAGGTGCCACCCCCTCGGAGCTCAGATCCATGGATCACTAAGAAGGGCTACGTGGTGAGGAGGGAGGGGGAGGACGACCAGTTGTCGGACCAGTTAAGCCTCAGCCTGTAGGAACGGGGCGCTTTGACCCCTGAGCACTCGCTTGCCCTCGTCAGGGCCGTGCGTCGGCACCCTCCCCAAAATTTGGGACATGAATTGGGCTCCCCCATGCTCCCCCATCTCGTGAGCCCGACTGACAGGTCCATCCCTGCTAGCCTTCCTCGCTCGCCCCTTCATTCAAGAGGCTTACGCCATTCCGCCGACCCCCAGAGGAGGCGGGGAGTCCACTGTCAGGGCGTCGTCTGCCTCTTGGGCACAGTCACTATGCGGGTATTATTGTGGGCGTGTTGGAAGCAATTTGGGTGGCCTGGTGGAGCCTCTTGGAGGCAGTTTGGAAGCGTCTTGCGGGCTGTTTTTGAATCTCTTGTAGGCCTTTCGGGGGCCTCTTGGGGCTCATGGGGAGCCAATTTTGGGCCTCGCTTCCCCCTTGTATTCTTCAGACCTCCCAGCCCCCCTCTCTCGTCCACCCTCAATCCTGCCCTCCCACCTCTCCCCCGTGCTAGCTGCCGCCGATACCGCCGGGGTGAGCCTGGCACCCGGTCCAGGACCTGCAGGCGAAGGTGGAAGACTTCATCCAGAGGTCCGCGCTCGACGCCCACGCGGCCAACGCGCTGCGGTCCGAGGCCCCCCACGTCCAGCGCGCGGTCATGCAGCGCGACGAGGATCGGGGAAACGTAAGACTCGAGAGTTCGCTGGCAATCGGGTCTGCCGACGACCTTTGACGGGACCGTCTAGTTTTCATGCGGCTGTGCAGCGGGAGATCGCGCCAAATTTCAGACTGAGTCTGGCCATTTTTCTGGCCCTTGCGCCTCCCCGGCAGGAGGGGCCCCTCGCCAGGTGCAGAAACCCGAGCGCCATCCTGATGTCTCGGCTGAAGCAGGCCCGGCAGGCGCGGCCGCCCGAGTCGCCCGCGCCGCCGCCGGAGTGGCGCCGTGAAGAGGCGCAGCCGTCCGAGCCGAGAGAAGGAGGAGGAGGAGGAGGAGGAGGAGGAGGAGGAGGAAGACGACGACGACGACCACCACCACCACCACCACCACCACCACCACCACCACCACCACGTTGACGACCACGACGACGACGACGACCACCACCACCACGACGACGACGACCACCACGACGACCACCACCACCACCGCGACGACGACGACGACGACGACGACGACGACGACGACGACGACGACGACGACGACGACGATGACGACGACACCGACGGCGACGACGGGGACGACGACGACGACGACGACGACGACGACGACGACGACGACGACGACGACGACGACGACGACGACGACGACGACGACGACGACCGCGCCTCCCCCAGAGCGGCGCCACGGCGAGGCGCGGCCACCCGTGCCGCCGCCAGCGCGGCGCCAGATGCGGCCACCCGAGCCGCCCACGCCGCCTCCGGAGAGAGCGGCGGCCGAGACCTCGGGCTGCAGGGCGCCGTGGCGCGAGGAGGCGCGGAGCAGCGGTGGCGCGGAGCAGCGGCGCCGTGCGGAGCAGCGGGCCGCGGCGGACGGGGAGTTGAGGGCACAGCTGCAGGAGAAGGACCCGGGCGTTGCCAGAGGCGACCCTGGCCCGAGGTGCCCCCAGCTCGTCGTTCCCTTCTGGAGCCTCTGGGGCCCTCCTGGGCCTCGTGAGGGGTGCCCTGGAGGCCATGTGGGCCTCCCTGGAGATCCTGGGGACGCCGCGGGCCAGGGGCCCCTCGGGCATCATCCGGAAGGACGCGCAGCTGCAGGCGGAGGCGGCGGAGCTGCGCCGCGCCAGGGCCGCGGCGGCCTGGGCGCAGCGCGCGGAGGAGGGCGCGGAGCAGCGCGAGGCCGCCGCGCAGCAGGCTCTGCGCAGGGTGCAGGACATGCACGCGCGGGCGGAGCTGGAGGAGCAGCGGGGGTCCGGGGAGGGCGAGTTGAGACAAGGGTCGTTGGCCTTCGGGGGGGGGGGCCTCGCCACTGCGGCCGGGAGCAGCTCGGAAATCTGGCGCGCTTGGGCCAGGGGGGTTATCCAGGAGCCGATTTTGAGTTGCCGTTTGTCACAGTTCGCCTCTTTGGTTCCCCCAGGAACAGCGGTGGGCGGAGGCCGCCAGACGGGCGGAGGAGTCCGTCGAGGCTGCCGGCGAGGCGTGGCGGACGGAGTATGAGGTGGAGCTGCAGAAGTTACGGGCACAGCTCAGGCTGAGCGAGGCGAAGCTGGCCAGCGAGGCGAAGGTTAGAAGGAAGGCCAAGGCGAAGGATCCAGGCCTCCCAAATGATGTCCGAGTAGATGGGGTCGGAGGATCGTTCCGCATCGCGGCTCGATGTCGAGCCTTAGTTTCTCGACGCCCAAGGTTCCGATGCATCGCCGACGTCGCCAACGTCGCCAACGTCGCCGATGCACCGGTGATGCGTCGGTGATGTATCGGCGACGCGGCGCAATCCTCCAATCCCATCTGCTCCCACCCCATCTGGGAGGCCTCTGAAGGAGCACCTCCTCACCGAGGAGCTAGCGGAGCACCAGGGCCGCAGCTCGCAGCTGCAGGAGGAGCTACTCGAGGCCGAGGCGCTGCGGTGCCAGCACGAGCTCGAGAGGGCCGAGTGGGAGGCAGAGCGCCAGCAGCTGGAGGAGGCCCTCGAGGACTACCGCCTCGCCGAGGCGGAGGTCAAGCTGGAGGGAGCTGAGCTGTACGAGGAGGACGCAGCGCCTCAGGAGGACCAGCGGGACCGCCTACGCTCCGTTTCGACGCCATTCGATTCGCGGGTTGGGCACGCAAGTCTGATTCGATTCGACCTGATTCGATTCACTTGCATCGGCTGGGGCTCGGAGGTGGCCGCGGGGATCCGATTTCGGTGCGATTCCAGACGATTCGCTGGCAAACCGATCCGTCTCCGACCTGGGCGATTTCGCGATTCGATCCAGGTTCGATCCAGCTCAGGCCTGGCAAGCTCGCTCTAGCGGCGGCCGCCGCCAATGCCTCCCGACCCCACTCCATCCCGTTCCCCTTGTCCACCTTCCATCCCGCCCTTCCCGCTCTCCTCCTGTGCCGCTGGGGTGATTCTGGCACCCAGTCCAGGACCTGCAGTCCGAGGTGGAGGACTTCATCCGGAGGTCAACGCTCGACACCAAGGCGGCCGACGCCCTGCGGTCCGAGGCTCCCCACATCCAGCGCGCGGTCATGCTGCGCGACCAGGAGGGGCCCCTCGCCAACTGCCGCAATCCGAGCGCCATCCTGATGTCCCGGCTGAGGCATCAATATCACCCGAACATCGGGGAAACGAAAGACTCCAGTACGCCAGAATTTGGGTTTGCCGACGCTTTTGATCAGCGCGTCCTTGATTTTGACGATCCAGTTTCCGTGGGATGTTTGCAGAGGGAGTTCGCGCCAAATTTCTGATGGGGTCTCGCCATTTTCATGATGGCTCCGTCAGGCCAATCCGAGTCCCCAGAGCCCGAGTCTCACGTCTCCCGAAAACATTTTGTGAAGGCCTCACGGCCAGTGCCGCCAACCCTGAAGGCGGGACCTCCCCCGCGACCCCCTTTCCCTGTCCCCTTAATGCACAGGTGGCACCACACCCCAGGACTTGCCAGGAACCCAGGGGGGCGATAATCAGACCCAGGACCCTCCCCTAATTACTTATGCGCCCAATAATCCCTCTCCCGTACCCCCCCCCCCTGCCCTCCCTACCCCGCCTCCCCTGCCCTTCTCCCCCATCAGGGAAGGAAAAAAGGGCAGGGGATCAAATCAATGTATTAACTACGACGGTTATTTTCTTTGCTCGGTCATCCACTTTCTTGGGACTGGCGACGACGAAGACGACGACACCGACAGCGTCGCACGCACGCCGAAGGGTCGGCGGATTTAGACTATGTGTGCGTCGCCCTCGACTACAAGGTCGGGTCGGGCGTCTGGGGGATGGGGAAACGGGGGGATACGAAATCGCAGCTGGGAGCGCGGCGCCGTCCTCGACGCAGCCGCCGGAGAAATCGGCTACGTAAGCTGATTCACCAGCTTCTCCTTCACTGCCCCCCTTCCTTCTCGTCTGACCCAACAAGGGCGATGCTCGCACTCCGACGTCTTGCAGTGTATGCCCGGTGGCGGGCGCCTTCTGGCCATACCGCCTGGGTAACGATGTAGTATTCGGCGGCGCGACGAGGGGGGCAGAGAGAGGGGGCAGGCCTTCTCAGAAGGAGCCAGTGGAGCATCTCAGAAACCCTCGCACCTTCTGAGAAGGCGTCTGCGTCGTCGTAGACGGCTTACCTCAGAAGGCGCCAAGGCTCCGAGAAGCCCCGCCGCCTTCTGAGAAGGCCTGCCCCCTCTCACACCCCCCCTTGGCTCGCCGCCGAACTGCAGCGTGTTTGTGCCATAGTTCGAGGGAGGAAAAAACACCTGGACCGGACAATTGGCCTTAACTAAACGGCCCTGGGCGCGTTTATTAAACAGCCCTACCCCGTCGATTCCGTCAGTGGGGGCGTCTACTAAACGGCCTCGCGTGCCGGGGTGGTTATTATCGGGGTGGATTTTCTGCCCTCTATTAGTTCTGCTCGGCTCGGCCGTGCGCATCCCCAGGGGGGCGCACGGTGCGAGCATGCGCCCCAAGGCAGGCCCGGCAGGCGCTGCCACCCGAGGACCATGACGAGGCAGCGCCTCGGCTGGACGGGCCCGCTCTGGCCGCGGCCGTCGCCAAGGCCCCCGCCGCGGCCCCGCGCCTGCCGCGGCCCCGCCCCTCGCAGCCGCCCGCCGCCGCAGAAGCGCCCCCCGGCGGCACGCCTTGGAGGATCGGGCCTACGTTCTCCTCCTTCCTCCTCCTCCTCCTCCTCCTCCTCCTCCTCCTCCTCCTCCTCCTCCTCTTCCTCTGTCTCCTCTTCCTCCTCCTCCTCCTCCTTCTCCTCCTCCTCCTCCTCCTCCTCCTCCTCCTCTTCTGCCTCCTCCTCCTCTGCCTCCTCCTCCTCCTCTGCCTCCTCCTCCACCTCCCAGGCGGGGTCGGAGCAGGCCGGACGCAGGGGTAGGGTAGGGAGGGAGGAGATCACGACATCTGCTGCATGCAGCCGGTTTCCGCCCCGCCGCCGGGCCCATTCCTCGATGTACATGGGCGTTTTCCCGGCGCCAGGAGGCGCCAGGAAAACCATCTAAGTGAGTTGATTATCTACCCTACTACCCTTTGATATCCTACCCTTTCGTCCCCCCTGATCGGAGGATCGCGCCGCATCGCCGATGCATCGGCGATGCGGCCCGATAAAATGTCAGAGTTCTTTGACATCGACGGCCATGATGAACCGCCGACGTCGCCAGTGCATCGCCGGTTCATTCGTCGATGCATCGGCGATGCGGCGCGATCCTCTGACCCCATCTACTCGGACCCCTCTTGAGCGACGGAAGAAACAGGCTCAACTGCGCCGACATTTGCGCGTGAGTTGCTCGCGTAAGGTCGCGCGTCAGCGCCCTCGTCTCCAATGTGGCGTGCCGCGCTGGCGGCACGCGTAAGCCGTCGCGTAAGGCCGCTACGTCATCTTGCGTGAGACCCGTTTCGTTTCGTTTCCTCTTTTGGAGGAGGCGAAGGGCCCCAAACCATGTGGTAGCCACACCGAGTGGGAACTACACCCGCGCACAGGTGCGGGCTCTGGGCAAGGTGCGCCCTCGGCGGACCAGGGCGAAGGTCCGGAGGGCCCCGAGCCCAGGAGCGTCACGTCTGGTCCGCACGTGGCGGTTTCCGGACGAGCCAGCCTGGAGATTCCCGAGGTGGGGGGATCCACACATCAGGCAGGCCTCGAATCGAGATACATCGGTGCAGAGAGTCCCTGAACGCTCTCAGAGCGTTCTCGAACGCTTTGGAACGGCTGCGGCGCCCGATACATCCTCCGAGCCCGCCGACCTTCAGCGATTTCCGATTTAGTTTTGTATCGGGCCGATTTTGTCTCGATTCTGACTTCGTCTCAGGCTTCCGGACGAGCCTGGAGATTCCAGGGGGTCACACACCGTGTGGTGATTTTGGGACTCCGGCCGCTCTCCGAGGACGTCTCGGGCGACCAGAGCCTCCCCGTCCGGGGACGGACCTTGCGGTGTGGTCGTTGGGGATTCTAAGGTCACCACGCGATCCGTCACAATACGGTCTTCTGACGAAGAAACAAGAGGCGGCACAGACATGTAGTGTCGGAGGTCCAGGCGACGGCGAGCTCGGAGGTTCGAGGATCGGACCCTACCCCTGCGGGTCCAATCGGCGCTGGGGCCCCATAGCGGCGCCTCCGACGCCGCCCCTGGCTGGCTCCGCGCGCCAGAGGAAGGTCCAACGCCGATCCAAGAAATCCGCGCGGACCTCCGAATGTTGGTGCTTATGCAGTTCTTTGTCCTTCTAATGACGAGGCGGGATACAGTCTAGGCGCTGAGATCAGGACCGCTTTGGGCTCGGGAGGATCCCGGCTGTCCGAGCCGTTCCTTGGATTTGGGTTGGGCAGCTTACTTGATCGCCGGGTGGCTTGCCGCGGCCAGGAAGGCCCTTTTCGCTCCTTCCCCGGAGTTTATGATGTTGGCGCAACGTCATTAAGGAAAGGGTGGGTGCTCTGGACGGGGCTAGAACGAGGATGAAAATCCGTTCCAGAGCCGTTCCTTGGATTGGGGTCAGGGAGCTCACTGATCGCCGGGTGGCTTGCCGTTGCCAGGAAGGCCATTTTCGCTCCTTCTTCGAAGTTCATTATGGTGGCGCAGCGTCTGTAGGGAAAGGGCGGGTGCTTCGGACGGGGCTAGGGCGATGATGAAAATCCGTCCCAGTCGGAACGCTCTCATAAGGCCGCGGCGCCCGAGACATCCTCCAGAGCCGCCAGGTCTCAGAGATTCTCGATTTATCCTCACTTGTCCTCGTCCTGACATCCTCTTACGCAAGGAAGAAAGGATACGCGAAATTTGCAGCTCGCAGCCAGTTTCGGCCCCGCCGCCGGACGTCTTTCCTGGATGCGCGGGCGCCTCCTGGCGCCGCGACAGCCAGCTGCGCGAGCCGATTCGCAAGCCCACACTTTGCAATCCTCCTTTTTTCTTACCAGCCTGAAGCTTGGCGGCAGGCGAGGGGAAAAAGTCCTTCTCTGAAGGCGGCGGGACTTCCCAGAACCCCGTCGCGCCTTCTGAGAAGTCTTCTGGGTCTTCGGCGCAGACTGGGGCAACTGCTCAGTCAGAAGGCTGGGGGATGTCGAGCTTCTGAAAAGACCCGCCCACCATGTGCACTCCCCCCCTGCTTTCGTACCAGCCTGAAGCACGGACGAACCCCAACCTAACACGCCACTGCAATGACGGTCGTGCTTCGGCGTACTGGTGGCTGAACCAATACAGGGCGTGCCGACATGGCATAACAACCGGTGAGCTAGCAGAACGTCAAAACATCAACCGTAGCGCACAATTGTCGCAGACGAGCAGCGTGAGGAACACCGTAACGAATATCAGGAGTATCGCACATGAAGAAGTCGCGAAATTGTTAACCAGGAAAGCTTCCAGTTCAGTCGTACTAGTGACTACAAAGATGCCAGTAATGCCGATGAGCATTGCAGCGGGAAATTGAAAAGCAATTGGGGATTGGAAAGCCAGAGAGGGTCTTATTTTTGCCCTTATGTCTTATGCCTGTGATCGACGTCGCCTTGTCTCGATGCCAATCGGGCGCATCCCTGAGATCGTCATCGCCATTAGCAGGTTTGTGAACCTTAGGGACAGGGATGAGGTCGAGTCTGTACTCTCGTCCCACCCCAGAGGAGAGGGGCTGCAATGCCCGCGACGCGCGGCTCGACGTCGCAGACGGCGGCGTCGCTGTGTGACCCCGCGCCGACATCTGCGTACAGGTACGGGCTCTAGGCGAGGTGCGCCCTCGGCGGAAAAGGGAGGAGGTCCGGACGGCCCTGAGCCCATGAGCGTCACGTCCGGGCCGCGCCCGTGGCGATTTCTGGACGAGCCCCGAGATTCCCAGGGGGCGTGGGGGCACACTCCGTGTGGTGTGTCAGTGGAGATTCGGAGTCACGTCACAGTTTTGGGATTCGGGTCGTTCCCGGACGGACCGTGAGGTGAGGTCTTCATGGATCTTGGGGCCACCGCGCGCTCTGTCACCGCACCGCTTCGGCACCCCGAAAAAACAAAAAAGCAAAACAAACAAAAAAAACATGAGCCCGCACCTCTCGGGATTCCAAAGTCCGGCCCAGGAGTCGGAGGGGTCAGCCTGGACAGGTCCGATCCAGCACGTGCGCCCTTCCTCTTTCTCTCTTCTCGCCCGCCCCCGCGCGCTGTCCTGCCCTGCCTGGCGCACGGAGGGGGTGGGTGCTTCGGACCGGGCTAGGACGAGGATGAAAGTCCGTTCCAGAGCGTTCCGGAACGCTCTCAGATCGCCCCGGACCGCTCTGAGGAGGCCGCGGCGCCCGAGACATCCTCCAGAGCCGTGGGATCTCCGAGATTCTCGATCGTTGCCCACCCGGGTTCGTCCTCGTCCTGGCATCGTCTCGGTGCTTGGCCCGTCGGGTCCCCTGAAGCTCCGCCTCTCCATGGCGGCGCCGAGTGCCGACGGAGGCGGCTGGCAAGGTGGGGGTCATGAGGCCCTCGCGCAGGGGAGGGCCCCCGCAGGGTCCTGGGGGCCTCGTGTGGCTCCTTGGGTGCCTCTGGGGGGCCTCGTAACAGCCTCCTGGGGATCTCTCGGGAGCCTTCTGGGGGCATCGTGGGAGGCCTCTTTAAGGCGTCTCTTGGGGGCCTCTTGTGGGCCTCTTGGGGCATCCCTTGCACCTCTTGGGGCACCGGTGGGAGCCTCGGGGGCCATTTTGGGACCATCTTGGACGA